TTACCTCCCATCCTTAGCATCTTTGGAACTTTACAAAACATGTGCCTACACTGCACCCGCGGATGCTGTGTCTGTTTGAGGTGGACTCACACATCAGCGTTTTTTTGTTACTGTTCAAGATCCCCTGATGAGTCACCTAAGCCCTCTCGTAATGGAAGAGCCAAGCATTGCCTACCTGCCATACCTGTAGCATACTAGAAGAAGTTGTGCTAGTGACAGCTAGAACTAGAAGTAAAGTTTCCCTTTACTCACTGTATTTTTGTTTGGCTGAGGATGTGGCACAGTGTTAGAGCTCTTGCCTTGCGTATGCAGGGCCTTAGCTTCAATCCCTAGCACCACAAACACAAAAACAACACCAGCTATATTTTTGTTTGTTTACAGTAGCAAGTATTGGACTCGGTGCCTTTGCACTGAGCTGTGTTCTCAGGAATGTGCTGCCGCCCTCCTCAGCCCATTTTAAAAATATTTTAGACAGGGTCTCATTATGTCATTGAGTTGCCCAGGTTATGTGCACACCTGCAGGTCTCCTGCCACCATACCTGTCTTTACTCTGTTGGGTTTGAGTTTTATGTTTCACTGTCCTATTATAGGACTAGGTTTCTGTTGTTGTCAGCCAAGAGCAATATAGTAACTGAAGTTAGTGGATCTGTTATCATCAGCACTTTGCTTTGTCCAGGTTTCCACAAATGGCAGGTAGTGAATTATTTTTTAGTTGAGTGCATCAAAGTCTTATAATGGATAACAAATGAATTAGTGAAATTGAAAAGCCAAAGCATCTTTATTTTGGTGTGTAGCACTGGGCGACCCAGGACATTTGCACATGCTATACCATGCTCTACCACAGAGCTACATTCCCAACCTCAAGCCAAAACAACTTCAAAAGAAATCACTGCCTCTGACACTAAGAATATACTAAAAAGCATTGACTTATATACTTTTGGTGGGGGGGTACCAGGGGTCAAACTCTGAATTACATTCTTTAAATGAGTGAATTGTATAATACATGAATCATGTATCTATAAAGTTGTTTTCATAAAAACTAATCACCGTGATATTTCATTATGATCCATAGTTTATAGTCTCTTTATTGAGTAAATTAAAGGGATTTGGCACTCTCCAGGGCTCCCAGGTGATCTTTTCTTTTAATTACTTGCCATGTGTACATAAATTAGCTTTTGCCCAACATAGTTCTGAAATATTAACTCATTACTAGAGAAATATAAGGATGTAAGTGTCAGAAATTATTGATAGAGTTCATAAAATGTATCTATTCAGTATCCCTCCCCACCCATTGTATAGAGTTAGTATCTTCCACTTTCAGAGATGACTAAACTGAAGTTTGTGAGATTAAGCTCCTTGCCTCAGGTCACACTGCTCTGTGTGACTGTGCCTAAGAGAGCTTGCCTTTTCATCATGAAAGCTGTTCATAGTAATGCTGTTACTTCTCTAATCTCTGCCTCTGTGTCTGTCGCTTTTTAGATCTATTCTTTCCCGTATACAGTTGAGATTGCCGAGCTCAAAATGCCAAAGACATAAATCATTTGGCTCCGCAGTATTAGCATTGGATTAAAACCAAATTCAAGTGGCAAAATAACACATGGTGAAAGCACGGGCTATGTTTCTACCATGCCAGGCAGTTGAATTAATTCTTTGTGAGGAGGTGTGAATACTCATGTATAACGATACTTTTGCGCAACTGTGAGCAAAATATTTTGTCACATTGCTCTGTTGTGTTAAGTTTGCTCAGCCATCTGCCATTCTTGCATTGATTGGAATGGAGCACCCATTAATAGCAGGGACTTGCAGGAGGCCACAGGTTTTTTTTTTTTTTGAAAGATACATTGATGGTTCTTGTGTTTCTGCTGTTTTTCTGTGCATCATCTGAGAAGCTTTTTTTCACTGGAGACAGTCACAGAAAAATAAGCCTTTCTTTCCCGGTGTTGTTTGTGTGAAGTAGTTGTGAATTTCAATTTTTAAATCTCTTCCAGTTTAGGGAGTTTTTTTAACTTAATTTTTAGAAGATTTTTTTTATGTTGGTTTTGTTTTATTTTGTTTTGTTTTGAGACAGGGTCCTTCATGTAGTGCAGGCTAGCTTCAGCTTGCTTCTGTAGCCCAGCCTGGCCTCAAACTCACTGTGGTCCTCCTGCCTAGGCCTCCTGAGTACTGGGATTACAGGTGTATGCTATCGTGCCCAGCAGGAGAGTCATTTTTAAAAGGAAAATGTGTAATAAAAAATTATAAAAATTCTCATGAAAAATAATTAAAGTTTTAAAAATCAATATAAGGATAATAATGTTATTAAAAATATTAAATCATGTGGGAACACACTTCCTTCCTAGATAATGTCAGAGAAGTATGGTTTTACTGCAAAGTGCATAGGAAGTTTTTGTTTGTTTTCTTCTGAGACAGGGTCTCACTATGTAGTTCAAGCTGGATTTGAACTCACTCAAACTCACGCCAATCGTCCTGCCTCAGCCTTCCGAGTGCTGGGATTAGAGGTATGTGCCATCATGCCCCGATTAGAAGCTTTTTCCTAACCACTAAAAGAAAGAAGGTAAAAGCTGTAAGTAGTAATCAAGTGTGGTGGCACACACCTTAACCCCAGTTAAGTAAGAGGCAGAGGCAGGAGGATCGCAAGTTCCAGGTTAGCCTAGGCAGTTTAGCAGTGACCTGTTGCTATGGTTTGTATCTAGAGTCCTCCCAAAGCCTCATGCACTCATAAAAGGGCCTTTGGGGAGGTGATTGGATCATGTGCCACTCAACAGTGAATTAGCCCCCTGATGAATTTATAGTAATGATGCTGGTAGTGGAGTGTGGAGGAGGAGCGTCACTGTGGGTAGCATGGAAGGGTCTGTCTCCCTCTCTCCTCCCCTCAACCAGTTGTGGACGGAAACCTCTACAAACTGAGTCAAAATAAACCTTTCCTTTTTTTTTTTTTTTTTTTTTTTTTGGTGCTGGGGATCGAACTCATGGCCTTGTGCTTGCCAGGCAGGCGCTTATGCCACAGGAACCTCTCCTCCTTTAAATTCTGGATATTCGATATTAAGTACTGTATTTCAGCAATGAGTAGGTAACTAGGAGACCTGTCTCAAAATGAAATAGAAAAGATCAAGGATGTGGCTCATATAGCTAGTGCTCCCTAGATTCCATTCCCAGAAAAAAAACAAAGCAAAGCAAAACAAAACAAAACACCACAAAGCAACCATAAGTATTGGTATGGTGACTGTTTCTTTTTCTTTTACTGGAGTTTAAACAGAGCTTTCTGCAAGCTAAACAGGCACTGTACCTCTGAACCGCATTGCCCAACCCTGGGATTTCTTTTTTTTGTTTTGTTTTGCTTTGTTTTTCTCACTATGTAGTTTAGGGTGTAACCCAGACTGACCACAAACTTGAGGTGATCCTTCTGTCTCAGCCTCCTGAGTGCTGGGGTTACAGATGTCTTGAGTCATCACATCTAGCCCTAGGACTACAGTATTTTGAAGCAAACCATCTAAATCTTATATGCTAAATAGTCCAAACCAAAACAGTCAATTCTGTGAGAAGATCAAGCTTTTCTCATCAGTCTGCGTTGTTTATTTTCTCAAAAACAGTCCCTACAGCCTTTCCATACCTCTAGTTCTCTCAGCTTCAGCAACCTTGGTCTCTGTGCACTGTGTGTGGCAGTGCTGTTTCCCTCTCCTCCCCAGTTGTGACAGCCTGTGACTCTAGACGTTGCCACATGTTCTCTGGGGCAAAATCTCTCAATTAAGAACTACTACTCTAAATGTTTTGGGGACCAGGAGCTATAGTACATATTGCTAAGAATCTGAAAAGAGGGTAGGACGGAACTCAAAAGGTATTTATGTTTTATTTTTGGAACCAAAGTCTAAGGATTTTTGAATTCATATTTAGTTGAATGATTTATTATTAAAGAGGTAAATGTCTGGTTCAAAGATTTGCCCTTAGGAACACCAAAAAGTTGTACATCTTATTAGAAGAAATATTTATTAAATTGTTTTATAATCATTCCAGTGAAGCTTGACAGAAGCATCAAACAATTCTTTTTCCCTAGAATATATTTTTAGGCCAGGCATATAGCTCAGTGACACAGTGCCTGCCTGGCAAGTGCAAGGTCCTGAGTTCGATTCCCAGACCAAAAAAAAATTTTTTTTAAAAGAATGTATTTTTAGGTTTCTGAAACCATCTAGAAAAAAAATGAATCTCTATTTCAGAATGGTTCTGTAAAAGAAACCATACTTAGCACTACCTCAGCCCCGTTTTACTCTTCATAGGCTACAGTTGCAGGTTCTTAAAACTAACAGATTACAAGATTAATGAGTTTTCTAAACTGGGTGTGGTAGTGTATGCCATAGTCACAGCATTCTGGGATCACAAATTTAAGTCCAGCCTAGGTAATTTAGCAATTTAGCAAGACCCTGCCTCAAAATAAAAATCAGAAAAAGACTATTTATAAGATAAAAGAAAAAAAGAGAAGAACTGGCAATGTAGCTCATTGTAAAGAATCTGGTTTCAATTTCCAGTATAAAAAATAATAATGACAAAATAATAACAATGGTAATAATGTCTTTTCAGTTTCTTTTTTTCTTTTTCTTACCATGTGGTTCAGACTGGTTTTAAACTCACTATGTAGTCCATGCTGGCCTCAAACTTGTGGCAGTCCTCCTGCCTCAGCCGCCTGAGTGCTGGAATTACAGATGTGCGCCACCATGCCTGACTTATCATTTCTTTTATTACTTTGATCTTTCTTGCTGAATTTAGCATATGGGATGTGATTATTAATATATTTTAAATTAATATATTATAAGGTTACCTTTAGCTATCTTGTTGCCATCAGTTGCCTGGGAGAGGGCTAATAATTTATTTTTTGTTTCTATGTGATGGGCTGTTGGACTTTGTCACATTCATATGTGTCCTGGATTCACAGATTTCTCCTGGTGACCTTGAAGTACTATGCTGCCTCTTGTCTTCATACATTTCTCCATTTTCCCTTTCTTACATAGCAGCAGCTAGTGATTCAGCAGACCGAAGTCCTCGGCCCACCTCTGCACCAGCCATTGCTCAGAGTGAAGTCACAGAAGGCGGTGTCCCAGGAGCACCTGTCCAAAAACCACAGAAAGAAACAGTGAAGGATGAAGTGAAAAAGGAAGAAGAGCCCCCTGAGCAAACTGAACCAGAGTCCACAGAAGCGTGGAAGGTACGTCGTAAGTCTACATGTTTAGCTGATTGACTTGCTGACATACAGGTTTTATTGCTTGACCAGGAAGGTTTTCAAAGCAACTGAGTCTTACGGAATCATAACAAATTTCTTCCTTGTTCTTTCTGCATAAAATAATTGGAATCTCCACATTGCTTGAGAGTCAGCTCTGCTGTTATGATTAAAATATAGTTTTAGGCCAGGTGTAATGGCACATGCCTATAATCCCAGCATTTAGGGAGGCTGAAGGAGAAAGGTCACAAGTTCTAGTCCAGCACGGGCAATTTAGTGACTTGATGAGACTGTCACTAAACCAAACCAAACCAAACAAAAACGATTGAGGATATAGCTTAGCACAAAGGCCCTAAATTCAATCCTCAGGACCACAACAAAAAAATATATATGTATATATAATTTCCTAAGATAAATATATGTACATTTCCAAAGTGTACATGTTATGCAAAATACATTTATGTGGTTTAAACCTTAAATAGCATTACAAAAAGGGAAGCTCCATTACGTAAGAAAGGTTGTGCTGCTGAATTGCTTACGATTCTGAGTTGATTGCACCATAGTCATTGCACTGAGGTTAAAAATCACCAATTTAATTAGCAGATTTCCCAGAAGTAACAGTTATTGGGTTGATCTTTTATATATTTGTAAGCTTCTTAAGCACATTTAAGCAATGATGGAGTTGAGTGCTAGTTCAGGTTTATTAAGCTAAAAGTAAGTCTCACTGTCTTGCCAACAGTAATTATGAAAAGCAGTCATGATAAAAATTATATTTTGTATGTTTAATAAGAAATACAAAACTAAATGTTCTCACCTCAGCATATGGATTAATCCCATTCTTGTATTTACTTATTTTTTTAAAATCCCATTCTTTTAGAACCAAAGCAATAGTTATCTATAGAATAGTGGACAATCTATTTTTTTTCTAAAATCTGTCAAATATGATATACAGTTTTGCTGTCCTTTTAAGACTTATCCAGAGAGGGAAAAGAAAGATTGACTGGATGGTGGAGATTTGCATTTTGGTACCTAGCCAAATGCTTACAAATTAGTGTAAACAATTTTTTTTAACCTAAGACTCTCACATGCTAGGCACGTGCTTTACCGCTGAGTTACCGTATCCCAGTCCTTTTGCTATTGCATTTTGAGACACAGTTTTGCTGAGCGGTCCAGGCTGGCTTCAAATTTGTGATGTTTTTACCTCAGCATCCCAAGAAACTGGGATAACAGGACTGTGCTATCATGCCTGTCTAAACAATATCTTTCTAATATTAGATTACCACTCCATTTTTAATGTTACAATATATCACCTGGCATGTTTGACCTACAGGATAGTGTTAGGTTATTGGAGTTATTAAGATAATCTTCTTGAATGGCTAAGGAATCCTAAGGTTCCTTAGGATTTCTGCTTACTTGTTCTGCTTTTGCTTCTAAAACAGAAACAAGTATTTTCAAAAGTATCTTCCCTTTGTTCTTGTGATCTCACCAGAATAAAGAGAATATTCTCTAGTCTATTCTTTTTATTTAAATATATTTGGGGGGAGTGCTTTTCGCCAATTAATTCTATGTAAATATCTGTTTTGCGATACTTGTGTTGGAATACAACTGAAAGCTACCTCTGATAACCTATCACTGTAATAATAGTGCCAGAATGAAAGTCAAATCTGAGTTGATTTTATTGGTAGCACTTAGGAAGTAATTATGTCATTTACTTGAAACCATATATAATTATACAATATTAAACATTAGTAGTAATTAGCCTTGTAACTGTGTAAATTGTGTCGTCTCACACTGGGTTGGTATAAGATAAAGATTGCTTTTTGTCATTATGACTTATTTGATAAGGTCTGTTCTGTGGGTATGGAAACAATACTGCTTCATCTGCTATGGAGGAGCAAACACAAAGCCATTGCTACTCATCCTTTTTTTTTTTTTAGAGATGTAGTCTGGATATGTGGCCCAGGCTGGCCCCAGCTCCTGGGCTCAAGCCATCCCCCAGGTAGTGGAGACTATAGGCCTGAATCACTGTGCCCAGTTTTTTGAGAATAGCTATTCTCAATTTTCCTGTTGTTGGATTGCTACAGACTCAAAAAGATTCATTATTTTTTAAACAAAGAATTTTAAGCTTTATAAAGTAATTTAAAACTGTTTACTAAGTGTACATAATTATATGAAGACAATTATTCCCATTTTTTTCAGTGTGAACATTTGAGCTCAGACTGTTAAATGCCTTGTCAGTGGCCACACAGCAAGCATGCTGGGATTCAGAGTAGAAGCAGTTCAATTGTTAGTAACCCTGGGTAGTTAAGTGCTATATAGCTGGATGTGCTTGTGATTTGACAATGTTATCAAGTTTGGTGTTGTCTCATTTTTTACATTCAGTTCTAGAGAAAGTAGCACAACAACATTGTACTCCAAAGTAACGCTGCTTAGTATGATTAAAAAGTATATGTCAAAACCACAGGTTGATAAAGTTCTATAAAAAATTTTATGATTGAAAGTGATTGACTTAACCTTTAATAAAAATAATCCTTTTTCTAATTTTGTAATAATCAATGCTTCCTCTTATTAGCCTGTCTAGCTTTTTAATAATTGCTCCATTTTTTGTACCACATAAAATTACTACTATTAATTTCAAGGCTACACAAAGGACCATATGTATTCATTTCCTACTGTTGAGAATAACTTTTACCCTGCTTCAAACATAGGTTCCCACTGTCTAATGAGAAGATTGCAGAGCATTGACTATTGTAACTGAGTCTTGTTTGTGTTATGTATAAGTCAGTCCTGGAAGTAATTGCATGTGTCAGTTATAATTTGGATGAAGTTTATTTTGATGTTTTATTGTGTAATAAGTCAAAGAGTAAACTGCCTCCTTAAATATATTGATCAACTAACAAAATTCTGTGTATTTGTTTGGTATCACATATGGTTTACTACATGTGTGTTTTAGCTCTAAAAATTATCTTTATTTCTGCCATGTATATTAACATTAATATCTTCATTTATAAATTTGTTTTTAAATGTTATTTAAAGTACTTTCAGATCTTACTAAAAAAGGCAAAACAAAACATATACCTATAATATTAAATAAGCCTTTTTAATTTTAGTGAATTTCTTTTTTTTTTTTTTTTTTGTCTTTTTCCTTTTTATCGGTACCAGGGATCGAACTCACAACTGCCTGCTTGCAAGGCAGGCGCTTATGCCGCTGAGCTAAATCCCCAGCCCCTAATTTTAGTGAATTTCTTAATGAGTAAATATAAAAATATTTTCATCAATAGAATGATTACCTTAATTTTATTTTTGTTACTATTATTATTTTTTTGGTACTGGGGATCAAACTCATGACTTTGTGCTTGCAAGGCAGGCATTTATGCCACTGAGCTAAATCCCCAGCCCTTTAATTTTATTTTTAATAATTGGTTTGCTATATTATGTCTTCATCCTTGAAAATGTGATAGTAACTAACACATTGCCACCGGGAGTAATGTCCTTGCCTGTACCACCCTCCGTAAGACTGCATTGTAGTTACCTATTGACCCATTTGACAACCAGCCTAATGATGCAGCTTATTTGGAAACAGTGCTGTTCACAGAAACCTATTAACCTAAAATGTTTTTACCACTTTGTTTCTTAAATGTAGGTGGAAAAAACCCACATCGAGGTCACAGTACCCACCTCAAATGGTGACCAAACTCAGGTTTGTGCCAACAGGCCACGTGTTCCTTTTTCCCTCCACCCCCTCAGTTTGTTTTTTCTTTTTCCTTGGCCCCCTCCCTTAAAAATAAAATAAAATGAAGGTTCAAACGGGCTTCAATGAACCAATATTTTATCATTTTTTTCTTTTTGAATTATGGCAAAACAGAAGCTTGCAGAAAAAACTGAAGATCTGATAAGAATGAGGAAGGTTAGATACTTTTCAGTTTCACAAAACTTCACTGCTGTTTCACCCATGCTGACTTACACTGCATTAAAAAGACAGTGATCCATTCTTTTCATTGATTTCTTTTAATCAGAAATTACTTTTAAAAAGTAGATGCATATGTACCTGCCTACATATGTATGCCAAAGAAATGCTAATCTTGTACTATTGTTGGAAAGGTTTTATTATACTTTTTAGTAGAAAAGTATCTTTTTTAACAAAATGAAATGATGAGGATCAAACTTATTCCTCATATTCAAATTTATAAGAACTTTCACAATGACGTTTGTGAAGTCACTGACAATATTTTATACACATTTATCATAAAAACCATCATAGCAGCAACTCCCAGTGTCGTTAATGAGTTTGATTGCTATGTGCCTCGTTCTTCCCAGCTAGAGAGTGGGATGAATCAGTTCTAATTGGACATATTTATTAGCTGATCAAGTATAAAATGCGCTTGAAACTTTTTCGTAAAAGTATTGGAGATCTACATACTGTAATATTAGCAAATATGAAATACCTTTAGAAGGCTAAACAATGATATTAAAGCATTTCTTCACTCTGATATGTGAGATTTCAAAGGTTTTTAAAGTCATTATTTTAGGGTAACATTCAAACTGTTCAATTTCAAAAATAAACATAAAGCAATGTATTATATAAGAAGCCAGTGAAGCCAGGAGCACTGTCTGTTTAAATAACATCATCACAGTCTTTCATCATTCACAAACAAGGTCATTCATTTTCTAGTAGTACTCAAGTTCTTCATGTCCTTGTGGTTCTGTGGCCATTCCATGTTGGCATTTGCTGCACTGCGGACATTTAATTTCAGATATTTTTGGTTTGCCAATTTGCAGTTTTTCCCGCAAGAACAACATTTTAATTTTTTATGCTTTTCTGTTTTTCCCCCTTTCATTTTCACAGAAAAAGAGAGAGAGACTAGATGGTGAAAACATTTATATCAGACATAGCAATTTAATGTTGGAGGTTTGTATGAACTTGAAGCTTATTTCAGTTGGTTGCCTGGATCTGCTGCATTCTGTACTGATTCCCTTTTCTTCATTCTGTGCTGCATTTGGTTTTGCATGCCACTGCATGAGAGATTTTTAGGTTTAAAGTGCTTTTGCATGTTGGTAAATATGAAGATACGCAACCATCTCCTTCTGATTTTTTTAGTTTTCATCTCTCATTCTATCTTTAAAAAATATATGATTGGGACTACCTCTTCCTCTCATAGCTCTGCTGTTTTACCTATATGCAGAAAGTTCTGCATCACCGCTAGAAGTTCCTGAATTTTCCAAGAATATTTGAATTTTTACATGCTCCTGGAAGCAAATTTCCCCTTTTTTTCTGAGCTGAGAATATAGAAATTTGGTCACAATTTAGAATGGACTTACAATAGTGGAGATAGCAGTAAATTACTGAAGAAAGGTTAGGGCATATGATAAGAAGGAAGAGAGCCTGGTTTTTAACGAATAGTTATCGTAAGTTTAACTATGAAAAAAAGCCTGTGGGAAAGGGATTTTTATTTGGAAGGTGAGAAAATTGAGACCTAGAGAAATTAATTACTTTATGGTCAGAGAGCTGATAAATTGGTAAGTTGGGTTTAAATTAGGAATTATATGACTGTATTAAATTACACTGTTCTTCTTTCAGAAATAGTAACATACTTTCTGCAATAGGAATTTTAAGGTCATTTTCCCATTATATTCAACATTGGTCAAATTTTTTACTTATATTAACCTAGAGATAAAGTATATTTTATCTAGTTTGGGAATCCACATGGGATAGGAAAATGTAAAACTACTTGGAAGATTAGGAAGGTATATGAGGAAAAATTAAAGTGGGACTATTCCATATAGAAAAAACTGAAATTAAGCCAGATGTGGTGGCACATTCCTGTAACCCCAGCACTTGGGAGGCCGAGGCAGGAGGATTGCTGGGACTTTGAGACCAGCATGGGCTCCAAAGTGCATTCAAGGCCAGCCTGAACTGCATAGCAAAATCCTGTCTCAAAAAAGACAAACAAAACAAAAAAACTCATATAGCAATTAATGACCAGATTACTTCATAACTCCATTCAAGGCAGAATCATAAGAAATGAATGTAAATTCTAACATTAGGGATTTAAGTTCATCTTAAAGGAAATATAAATTATAGGAAGACATAGTTCCTACCTTCAGGAAGCTTATAACATGGGAAACTGGGAAGGAGAGAAACAGTAAATATGTAAACAAATAGCAGTAAAGTAGTTACAAGCTGTTATGTAGAAAATAAAGAATGTGCTATTCTAACAAAGAGGATTTACTCTAAGTGAGATGAACAGTGAAGAGTTCCCATTTTAACTGATATCTAAAAGGTGAACACACATTAAATGTGATAAATGTTAAACTGGAACTTTGAAGGAACTTTAAAAACAGACTTTTGGCTTATTATATTGCCACTAGTAATTATTTAGCTTAATCTTATTTTTGGCAATACCTATATTTTGAAGGCCTGCTATTTGTATAGAACTTTGATAAAAGTAGTAAAAATCATGGTCAGTTTTCACTAAACATACCAGGTAGCAGGCACAATACTAAGTGCTTTACATACATTCGTACCATGTAACATGGCTTTTTCCAAATCTTCAAATGTATCAGTAGTAGGAACTAGATCTGTTTTAGTCCAAATCTGAGACTAGACTGAATCATTCCACCCTGAGACATAAGGGAGGATACTGGATGGTGGTTTATCTCCTCTGCTCAGCAGTATAACCACGTCCCAGTTCTGCACATCGCCTCCCTATTCCCTCCTCAGTACTTCTTAACTGGAACCCGCAGTGCCAATCATATATTTGTCATCTGTTCTGAGGTGCGTTATGGCTTCTGAGGCTCACAAAGGCCCCGTGTGTGATGTGTTTTTCCCCCAGCATTTCACTGACAGCCATGAGGAGATTTCTAAATAACTGTGTGTTTGAAAAATTAAACCTACTAACTGCCTTTTGCAAACATTTTATATTTAATGAAGTGTTTGGTTTGATTGTTTCTAAAATCGTAAGATGATGGCATCAAAATTGCCTCACCTCAGCACAGCCAAAGTAATTTGGCTGACCATCATTCTTTATCTGTATTAAAATATGTTCTTCCCCAAAGGAAGTTCTCTCAAGTTATCTGTCACCCAGCAGGGTTTTTTTTTTTTTTTTTTTAATAAGCATCCCTCCTCCCCACCTCCTCTCCCCCACCCTCACTAATGCTTTGTTCTGGCACAAATAAGGTCGAATTCATTTTTAGATCTACCACCTCCTCCTCCCACCTCCCAGAGAGAACCTGTAACAAATGTCTGTGACAAGTTCTATTTGGAACAGGTCCCTTTGAGATCTTAATTTTACTCTGTGCCCCCACAGGTTTCCATCAAAGCCAGCTAAGGAGGATGGAGAAAGCTCCCTCAGAAGCTACTCATTTTATTGAAAATTTTATTTTCACAGATTCCAAGCCAGTCAAAAGCTAGGCAAGAAAAGTAACAAGTCTCCAGTCTATCTTATTAAGATACTAACTCAGAGTTATGATCTTGGCATAGCATCCATCTCTCGCTAATTTTTGTTTTGTTCCAGTCCCACTTTTAATCCTCCCAAGTATGGTAAGCTGTCCCAAACAAGTTGATTTCCAGTCAGAGCTGAGCCCCAGGCCTCACATACCTAGAGGGTCTCAGTTGCTTGGCTCAATACTGAGTCTTTGAGTCTATGGTTTTATTTAGCTAATAAATGTGGGGTTTTTTGCTTTTAGCTAGAAAAGAAGCACAAACTACTACTTACCTTAGTGAAGCTTTTTATTCATAAAATAGACTCACATTTTGTCACAGCAAGCAAAAACTACTATTGTGAGGGAGCTACTGTGGCCTTTTTTTTTTTTGTCTTTTTCCTTTTTATCAGTATCGGGGATCGAACTCACTCGAACTCACGACTGCGTTGCTTGCAAGGCAGACGCTTACGCCGCTGGGCTAAATCCCCAGCCTACTGTGGCCTTCTTTGATTAGCTTTCTCTTTGACTGATGCCCATCAAGTGTAGATGGGTCAGTCTCGCAAAAATAGAGGTGAGAATAGTACATGAATTTTTTAAATAAATATCTCCAGAATCAATGTTACGTGTCTCACTGATTCTTTTTCCTGTGCTGTTTTCCCTTTGATGTTACTCTTGAAAAAAATTTATTTAATAGGAGCCTATGTTGCCCTTAAAAAAATTTAAACAAATTTTGATTTAAATGAATTCTAGCTGGGGATTTAGCTCAGTGGCATAAGCACCTGCCTGGCAAGTGCAATCCTCAGTACAAAAAATAAAAAATTGAATTCTATTTTTCCCCAAAGTGAAAATGTTTCCCACAGAGCCAAAAAAGAAAGACTAATCCTAAAAATTAACATTTAATATTAGGAGATACATTTGGCATTTTGCTTTTCTTGAACACAGAGCTTCCTTGATATACGACAAACAGAATTTTTTTCACTCATCAAGTGATGAGCTCTAATAGTATGATCTTCAAACTTTTAAGGTTTTTTGAAGCACAATTGAACAAAGACCATTGTATTTTTGTCTTCAAGTTATATTTACTATACTATTTTTGGTCAAGTGCCCTTTTTGAAAACTATTATATACTATTTGTACATAAATCTGAGTATTTCTGGCTCATGCTTTGTTTACTGTAGTTTTGATCATTTGTTCGTAGTATCCCCTGTTAGTTTGCCTCTTCCTCTGGTTGCCCACTATTTGAACTCTTATTGTCACCCCCCAATCCTTTGAAGGTTACTGGAAATTGCCCCTCCCCTTTCTTAGTGGTAGAGACACTGCTGCTGCTGGGGATATTACCCGGGGTGTTGCACATGCTAGGCAAATATTCAGTCACTGAGTTACTTTCCCTACTCCAGAATGTCTCTATTTTGATTTCTACTAGGATGAAGCAGCTAGAAACCATACAACTTTAAGTTTGTATAAATAATATTGATGGGAAGGGAGTCATTATTATTTTTATTATTATTATTACATTGCATGTCCCTCACTGAGTTTCAGATAGTAACAGTTGACTCTGGAGGTATTAGGAATGTTAGCAAAAAGTTCTTAAGTCAAAAAAAGGGAGTATTATCAAAAAAATCTATTAAAAAGTACAGAGGCAAAAAAGAAAATCTCCAGTAAAAAAAGAGGGGTTAAAAAATAAAGGGGAGTACTTTATTGTTACAACTCACAAAGGTACAGCGGAAGTGGTGGAAGTCGAATTTTCACCATGTCCTTCATTTAATAGTTTGTCTCTTTGTTGCTTTCTCCATCCTACTTGAGTTGAGCCTAAATCAGTTCTTATCAAACGGGGGCTAATTGAATTTTGGGATTACTTGATTGGAATGAGGAGTTGGAGATCTGGTTTTGCATCATATTGGGAAGAACAGTCAAAATTAAGGAGTGAGCTCTCTGGGTTATATAAACTAGAGTTAAGGGGTTGTGATACTTCACGACTTGCAAGAAAAGCATCTTGATTTTTAAAAAGCAGAAGCAAATATACTATGTTGTAGATTTCCAATTTGAATGCAATTTATGGATTAGTAATATCTACCCTGGATGTGGTGTGTTTTCTACCAGTACCCAACCTTTGATGGGTTGCCCTTGCTGTATTTTTTGTCCCTATTATTTATTGTTTTGTACTTTTGTCCTTCAACTATAGGACTTAGACAAAAGTCAAGAGGAGATCAAAAAACATCATGCTAGCATCAGTGAGCTGAAAAAGAATTTCATGGAGTCTGTACCAGAGCCACGCCCCAGCGAATGGGATAAACGATTATCTACTCACTCCCCGTTTCGAACTCTTAACGTCAATGGGCAAGTCCCCACAGGAGAAGGAGTAAGTACTTTGTCCACATGGCTGATTCTGAGAATGAATGGAATAAAGGTTCTTGTGTGTTAATATTCGGTTTCTGAGAAAACAGTATAAAGCTGAAATTGAGCTTTGGCGCTTCAGTAATTCATTGCAATTTAAGGTATTCATAATCAAGCATTTATTTTTCATATCAGGTGCAATCGAATTCAGTTGTGGGAGCCTTTGAGAGTTACTAGTTGATTAGACTCCCCAGAACTGTCTCTAGATCTCATGCTTCTGGCCAGTCTGTGTTTACAAGTTGAGCACATGCCAATAAAACTTTGTTTATATTCAGAATGTACCTTCCAGGACCAGAAAGTTGACTAAATTTAGTAAGGTCAGAATTAGAAAAGGATTATTATTTTTAAAACTTTATTTGAACATTTCTACAACTTAGAAATGCCTGGAATGATACAGTTATGTAATATACCAAGGAGGCCAATAAGCTAGAGAACGTAAAACATCAAGTTAATGATTATATTTCAGTTTTAAAGAAATGACTCATTTAATCTTTATTAGTAACAACAAGATTTTAATATATTGTCTTATGAGATAGATTAAAAGAAGCCAGAAATACCTTTTAGAAGTTATTTCTTCTCTACTATGGTCATTACCTATTTTAGAAATCTTACATCTAAACAAATGAGTCTGTTTAATGAGAATGTCTTTAAAGTTACTTGAAAAGTCAGTGCATGTTAAATGTTTATAGAATTGTGATGACTGAGTGCTTATCATCGTTTTAAATTACGTTCTTACTGACCTTCCTGCCCCCAAATAATAGCAATTCTAGTTAAGAAAGATAAATTAATGTTCCAGTTAAACACCTGGGGTTTAGCAAGCCCCAGTGGTGTGTGCCAATAGTACCAGCTTCAGGAAACTGAGACAAAAGATCACTGTCCAGAACTTCAAGACCAGCCAGAGCCAGGTGTGGGGTCTTAAAACGCCAGCACTCTGGAAGGCTCAGGTGAGAAGACTTGCAAGTTCCAGCCAAGCCTCCTGAGCAACTTAGTGACTTAGCAAGGCCTTGTCTCAAAATGAAAAATTAAAAAAGGGCTGGGAATGTAACTGAGTGCAAAGACTCTGGACTCAATTGACAGTGCCACAAAAAAAAAAAAAAAAAAAAAAAAGACCAACACGGGCAGCATAGTTAGACCCTGTTTCAAAGAACAAACAACAACAACAACAAAAAAAAACTAGTTTTTGATCATTGTTGTTGTTTTAATTTTCAGAGTTCTTTGTAAACTATCAGAATTACTGTTTAGTTTCTGAAACTGGAGGAGGGAATAAACATTGGCCCACAAAGGGCTTTTTTTTGTGTTTTTAAAAATGTGATTAAAATTGGCTAACAGATTGCCAATGCTGAAACATTTTCACAAGTAAAGCTGGAGCATATCTGAAAAATTGGCAGGTTCATAGAATTAACAGGAATGATAGGACATTGGTATTCCCACTCATTGTCCTCTCAGCCTCTGTTCCCTGATATAAATGGAGATGAGTTTTGTGTTCTAAATGTAGAGCACATACCCAAAACTGGGACAATAACCCTGCTTTCTAGTTAAGACCACCACTTTCAGTGTCAGATACATCATTTGGGTATTTTCCTAGGAATAAGAATCATAAAGGTCCAGTATGAGTGTAGCTTGGTTTGACTGAAAGGGTCTGGCTGATCTAAATAAATTATTTTGAATATAGCATTTATTATGTTTGCCTGAGTTTATACGGTAGATAATCTTTAATGTCCTGGCTATTAAAAGTCTAAGTGAGAAAATAACTTATTGCAACCTCATCTAATAACCCCATCTACAAACCAAAACTGCAAATTTTTTAGTTTTTGTTTTTAACTACAAGTCATAAATGATGCTCAATTATTTTTGAAAAAATAACTTCTTCTGCCTTGCATGATGCTGGATAAATTTGTATTGGTCACCATTTCCAGAAAATATCTTAGGTCTTTTAAAGGAAACCTTTCATAAATCATCTCAGACCTAGTTTTGGGAATGGGGAATGGCAGTGTCATTTGTGGGCTTTGAAGAAATGACTTTTTAAAGCCAAGATCCATGAGGAGGACTTAAATAATGGTAACACTATGCTTCTGTGTATTTACCCCTCTTAAGTGAATAACAAGATAAATAAGAAGTGTACTTGTGATAACCTTTTATATTGAGATAATTCTGCTTTCTGGCATATCTTATTTTTTCTTTAATAATTAGGATAATATTTCTGTTCCCTGGGGATACCTCTTCCACCTTTAACTCCATTGTTGTTGCATTGCAAGGCAACTGAATTTTATACAATTTGTGTATGACCAGGTGAAGAAAACCTCTGTCCTCCCCTCGGAAAGAAAGGTTGGTGGGCCAGAGGTAAAGCTGCTGTTATGACTTGTGCTTCTCAATCAGAATTTGCTCTTGTCATGGCACTAAGCAAAGAATCCCCAGAACTGAATCACAGCTGCTGACTAATTTTTCTTTTGGCTATCCTAGTAAGTTCATGCCCACAGCCCTTTGGCCTAACACATTACACTTTCACTGCTGCAGCGTTTGCAGCCTTCAACTTGCTTATTTCGGCGCATGGCTGGTTGAAAAGCTGCATGAAGATGTAAATGTGTATTCAGAGAGAAAATTAATTTAATTATACCCTATTCTTTTTATGTTGTCTTTCTTCTCCCACTTTATTTTCTTTTAAAAATCATTACAAATTTGCATCCTGTCTTTTCCTTTTTTCTTTTTGCTGACCAGTCCCCTAGCTACTTTCTCCCTGATACGTATCACTTAGGGGTGTGCAAAGAACCAGTGTTGAGCTTCCAGACTGACCAGAGAAGGCTAGCTCAGCTGAGAGAGCTTAGAGCCAGGTTTTTCTTGTCATAGACAACATCTGTCTTGACTGTATAATAAAGGGCAGAAACTGAAGAGGCAGGAAAATTCTCAATTCAACAATACAGGGAGAACTTTCCTTGAAATTGTCAAAAGTATTTACTTAATGAAATGCATAAACCTCCATGATGGCCATTATTTTTAATCATGATTCTAAGAATGTACAAATGCTGAGGTTTTGTGGGTTGCTTTATTTTATTTCCTTTTGTGGGTGGTAGACCCTGGAGGTACATTTTATACTTTGGGCTTTCTGTTTTTCGGTTTTTGGTTTTGGGGGAGTTTTTTGGCAATCTTTAACATGTACAAGAGTAAGGCTTTTGATTCCTTAGGCAAAAGCTAATTATTATCCTGAGCTATTTCAGTTTTTTATGCATATATGAAGGAATATGAGGATTATTTTTTATATTCTACAATTCTATTTCTAATAAAAGTAACTTTTCTCATGGCAAGAAGAATGCTTCATAATTGGCATAGCCCAGTTCATTGGTGATTGGCAGTACTAAACAATGAAAAGTGACTCAAAATTCATATGTGAAAAAAATTAATGTAAATATCATGAAAAGAAGAATAAATAAGAAAGGCTCACAAACACTGAACTTTTAGTCATTCTGATACTCATTTTTTAATTAGCTATTGAGCACTCTACTGTATTATAAAGAGAAGATATAGAGACCTAGGATAAATAGCTAGAGTAAAGTGAATCTAAAATAAAGAGTGTTCAAAGAGTCTTTCTAAACCCTTTGCACATCCCCAAGTTTCATTTTTGAGCATTCTCCATCTGTCATTTTGTTCATCTTTCTCTGTCTTTCTTGATCTTCTACCGTGAAAGCAGACACAGGAACGTGCTCTGTTAGTACAGGATGAAGAGAAAAGTAAAAGGCAAGAGAGATCTACTGAAAGAGCCTTGCCCCAGCAAGAAAATGAAGAAATTCTTCCCAAGGTTTCCATTCCAATCCCTGAGGATCACAAGTCTCTCAAAAAGTGCCGCCTCTACTCTAGTACTTTTCCATCTCCTCGTATTCCTTTCATGATGTCTTTTCTCGTGGTCCTTGCATTGGCTGTTTGGTGGTTGGTCTTTCTGTGATCGGAAAACAGGGTGCTCATCTGAAACGTCAAGACCAAAGCCACTGAACTTTTGTTGTTAGCTTCCAACGTATAATTGCCTATATGATGCCTCTGCTCTTGATCGTTCACTGTCCTAGGGGAGCTCTTGTGATCAGTTTTCTGTCAATAAGAACTTTTTGTAGATGATGTATTGCAGGGTAAAAGGAGTAGCAATGGATTGCCCAAGTCAGCTTTTCTGCTCTGAAGATGAACAAATTTAGACAAATAAATTTAAGCATATAGCAACTTGGTACTTTCCCCAAGTAACTCTTTTATTCTGCATGTTCTTACTGTTCACTGTTGCCATGTCCTCCTTTCCAGTGTCTCACACAAATCAGGATACTTTCTAGACACTTACGATGGGTATTTTCCCAAGCTTCTGGTCATTTGTGTGGCATGGTCTCTATAGTTTAAGGAAAAACTTCAACTTGCTAACCTTTCAAAAGCCTTAAAACGATAATGTTTTAATCTATAAATCCATAACCACTCCTTTTCTTAGAATAACAAACTAGTATATACAAAGGCCTTTTTCTGGAAAAGGGCTTTTGACATCTGTGGCCTTTCAATGAGTATTTCTCAGCTATACAGGGATAGGTGACTTTACCCCCTTTGGTGTATAGAAGGAATCTGCAGAGGTTAAATGCCATCTCTTCGTAAGTGAAATGTTTAACTAGTGTAAGGAAAATGGTGCTGGTGCCCCTTGGCCTCCAGCCAGGGCTGAATTTCTCACCAAGTCTCACCAAGACTATACTAATATCTTTAAAATTCCTGAATATAGATCTACTCAAAATCTATACATAAATGCATCTTTTTCTGAATTAAAATACTGTGTCACTTCCTTATGGCTTAAGTAATTATATTGCTACCTGTAAAAGCAATATTTAGCCATTATAATAAGCTTAAAGTCTATGTTGGTACACTTTGTTTTCCTAATAACTTCAGATGTTTGTTCTTGCACTTGTGTTTAGAACAATTGTTTGTAATCAGTGGCCTTGTAAGCTAAAGTTCTACTGTAATAAGTATGTGTCCTCTGTTTGCATGTTGATTTATAAGGCTTTCCTGAAGTAAATATGAGCACTCTCTCCAGAACACAAATTGGATGCCTAACCTGTTTTTTTTTTTTTTTTTTAACTTACTTATTAACGAAACTTTGCATGTAGCTTGCTTTTTTCGCACTTGAATGTACCAGTATGAGCGGTTTGGTTAATATCTCAAATATTTGTTCTAAACTCTGAGCTTGTAGGATTATCAAACTGAGACTATTGAACTTTGTGTTATTTCTCAATGCTTTTCAGTTGATGAAACTTCTAAATAAGACTTTGTTTTTGAGAAGATGCCCTCAGAGCCAAAAAGAGAACAGTAAAACCAAGAATCTTTTGTCCTTCAACACCCACCAGTATCATTTCATTGTCTCTAGAAATATGTAGGCGATGGTATTTTTTGAAAACTGTAACTCTGTCATTGTAGTCTTTTCCAAAAAACTGAGGGGCGGGGGGGGGGGCAGGCAACAACCGGGCTAGACTGAAAAATCTGGTATGCATGTATACTTTTCATATCACGAGCTCTGTCTATTTATAAAAAGTATTTTGTAAGTATATTTGTTGATACACTCATAATAAGAAAGAGATCTCACGTCAGCCTAACATACTGCACAGCTGTTTTCTAATATAGAAAGTGATAATCATAAATATCCCCCTTTAGCTGTGAAATAGAGATAAGATTTACTTAGTGAAATAACAAATGAAACTACAGCATTGGTTACATTATTTTAAGTCTTTTTTTAAGAAATAAAAATGAAATAATCTTAGCTTTTATTGATACTTTTGTAGCTGTTTCAGATTATATTTCATGAAATTGTAGTTTTCATTCTTGTACACAGTTCTTTATTCTTATTATAAATTTCACCCTGAATTTTGTTTCCTTTTGTATTGGAGTTATTTCAAGTCCACTCAAAGTCTAAAGAAAGCCAACATTACTTTAGGCAAGAGTCCTCAAAGATCTTTTTTGACTGTCAGATGAGAAGCCATTTCTTCTGTAAACAGGGTTAAGAATGGTTGCGATGAAGCCAATCAACCCCTTGTATTGGATGAAGCTGATTGATGCAGACTCAAAAGAAATACCCACCCTAATTATCAGAGGAAAATACCGGACATTCCAGCTTTGTGTTACCTAGAGTTAATGCTGCCAGTGTTTGTAACATGAAGCTGTAAGTGCATTGATTTCTTTCTCTAACTGTATTTGCTTTACCCTGGTACCACTCCCTAATGACAGTCTGATAAATAAAAACTGATTTGTACTAAAGGTATTCAAATCAGCATAAAGTCTTGAACTTTTCCCTTGGTTTTGCCATTAATCATTTCCAGGGTGATTCCAAGAAGTTAATTAACTTTGTGGGAATCCCAATTTTCACCTAATAATGAGACAGACCTACCTCTTGAGGATGAATCTGTAATGTACAGAGACTTGATTGTTCAATTCTTGGTCTTTTAGGGCCTGGGAAGCCAGAAATTAAGGAATAAATAAACATATATAGCTTGTTTGGTTTTTTATTTGAAAGGAAGCAATTAAACAATGGTTTATTTCCATCTGTTCCTTATTGACATTTGGCAAAGCATTTTAAACTACAAAGTTAAAAATATCTTTTCAAGTTTATCCTGTTAACAAATTCAGTTTTATGGAAATGATATTCTTAGACTGAGCCATACATGTTTTGTTTTTTGTTTCCTTAAACCACACTTGGAAACAAATCTAGCCTCCATATTTGGCCTTTTGGCTCTTTTCTTATGTGCCAACACTTGCGATATGAAGAATTTCTATTTGCATGAGTCAATTTTACTGTTTGTTTATATCTTCAGTAAAAATTTTTGCTGAAGAGGGAACATATCTATATTAATTCTGTTGACTAAAATTAGATGGGGTTATCTGTGGAGGAGATTTCCAGTTATCATTTTAGAATCTAGTAAATTCCATTATTATCAATAGAATATATTAAATAGAATTCATTATTGTTAAATAGTCTTATAAATTTTCCCCTGAAATTTCTTTGAATATAGGCCACTTCACTTTTACTTACTTTCCTAATTCACTTCTGTAACAATTCCTGTAGCGATAAGCCTGTAGGCTACTAGGCATTAGAAGTTCAATTATTTTTGGCAAGGTATTACCAATAAAAACTTGGGCTTTACCCAGTGTTGTGTATTTGCAAAAGGAAAATAGAAAACACAAAAACAATATTAGAGGCTTTCTAGGTGGGCATGCTGGCACATGCCTGTAATCCCAGCACTTGGGAGGCTGAGGAAGGAGGCTCACTGTGAATTCTAGGCCAACCTTGGCTGCCTGTTGAGTTCAAAGCCAGCCTCAACCAGATAATGAGACCCTGTCTCCAA